TCTCTCTCTCTCTCTCTCTCTCACTCACACCATCATCATCATCATCATTATTATTAGTATTACTATTAATGCTGTTGTTACTATTACTGTAATTGTTATTGTTATTGTTACTGCTAATTTTTGCTGTTATTGATTCTACTACTAGTAGTAGTAGTACAACAACTATTACTATTACTACAACTACCATTACTACTACTGCTAGTACTACTACTAGCACTAGTACTACTACTAGCACTACTACTACTACTACTACTACTACTACTACTATTACTACTACTACTACTGACTACTAACTACTAACTACTACTACTACTACTTCTGCTACTACTACTACTACAAATAATAATAATAATAATATTGAGAATTATAATAATAATACTATTGTCATCATTCGTATAACTTCGTATAATGTATGCTATACGAAGTTATTACGCTAACTACTACTACTACTACTTCTGCTACTACTACTACTACAAATAATAATAATAATAATATTGATAATTATAATAATAATACTATTGTCATCATTTTGATTATCACTACTGATCTCCCAACTTCTCTTTGCAATAGAATGGTTCGAGATGCAGGTGGTCTATGTATAGCTGATGAAGTACAGACAGGCCTGGGTCGCTTAGGTTCACATCTATGGTCATTTGAAGCTCAAGGTGTCACCCCTGATATTCTCATCATCGGTAAAGCTATTGGTAAGTCGGCCCTCTTCCCTACAAAACCCCAAAGGTCCTCAAATCATATCTCAGATAGCATTTTTATTTACATTTGAGTTTAATGACAAAGCAGCTCAGTACAAATTTAAACAAAACTTTAATTTGTCTCTGTGCCTTTGCAGTTACAATAAAGATCAGGGACTGTTTTTGTCCCGCAAAACCTAAAAAAGAAGAAAAAAGCTCAGTAGCACACAATCAAATACACTAAGATAAAAGTTTTGAATTTCTTGCAAATCCAGACCACTACCAATGTACAAAATCAGCATGTCTTGACAGAGCATTTTAAGAATACACGGTCTGTTACATGATATGCTCTTGTAAGGAAACCCATTGCATTTAGCAAGGTTTGTGGCCTGCACACAATTGATGTATTTTGCAACATGAAATATTCATCCTTGATTATGCCACATCGGTTTACTGTATACAGGTGACCCTCAGAATCATCAGGTGAAGGATTCAATGACCCAGAGTAGTAAAGATAAAATTATAAATGGAAAATATAAAACTAAACACCCCTGAATATTAGCATCTGTTTCTTTATCCAGATGCTCAATTCATTTTTGCATATCTTATATCCACTTTGGGAAGTAACATTGCACTTTTCAAAAGATATATGATATTATTTACTCATTATGCAATAGCACTTGGCATTCCCTCTAAGCCTTTGAGAAGCTGTTCTGGCCAGCTCAGTATTTTTAGGAGCTATGTTTCACTGAAACAAAGGCAGACAGGTGAGACACAGGGTAGACAATGTTTCAGTGAGTGCTGAAGGGAGATTGTGGATCTGTGAAATAGCAGGAGGCTAAAGCAGGGGTTGCCTACACATCATTTAAATTACCTGCATTTGGTATAATGCCTAGGGCATAGCAGATTGAGGTTTTATTTTGTGGAACTTTTTTTTCAGTTGATGTTGTCGAGTCTAAAGATATGGAATTTGTGGGTATGGGAAGCCACATTGAAGAAAAACATTCAAATCCTTGGTAAGAAAAAGTAATGTCATTAGAAATATAAACTAAAGGGAAAATGTCAAAGCCTGCAGGAAAGACAGGAAAGATTGAGGATATATACTTGGTGTTTTTTTACAAGGAACAAAGAGGAATAGGAATGTGCAGACGGGGATTTCCAGAGTTAGTTTTGCAGCTCCAGCATCAGCAGAAAAGTAGGCATAATGCATAGATTATGTACGTTTTCATAATGCCAGGATAATTTTTAGCTACAGTTGGCTAAAAATAACAACATCCTGGACATAGTCAGATTTGCGTTAGGATAAAGATGGTGACATTTTGACATAGAGATATTAATTTTCTTTCCTGTTACAGGTAATGGGTATCCAATGGCTTGTGTTGTAACATCCCCAGATATTGCTGCTCTCCTGGGAAGCAGAGTTAAAGAGGTAATTATTCCTGTGACTATGACAGACAGATACATGCTTTCATTCAATTACACTAACACACTTCTACTAAACCTCACTTATTCTTTGAGAAGTACTGGCTGTTCTGTGATGAATGTATGTTGATGAATGGTCATAAGGATATATAACTGTTGACCAAGTTATTGTATTTTTTATTTTATTAGTATTTTTTTTTTATAACAGTATAAGTGCACAGCAGTGATGAATGCTGTGGGCTGTGCGGTGCTGGATGTCCTGCACCGAGATCAGTTTATGGCCTCTGCAGCATCTGTAGGATCCTTTCTACTGACTGAACTGTCAAAGCTTAGAAGAAAACATGAGTATATCGGTTAGTTGTCTTTGTTTGTTGATGAAAGACAACTCTTTCTCTCTCTCTCTTTTACTCTCTCTCTCTCTCTCTCTCTCTCTCTCTCTCTCTCTCTCTCTCTCTCTCTCTCTCTCTCTCTCTCTCTCTCTCTCTCTCTCTCTCTCTTTTACTTACTCTCTCTCNTTCTCACGCAGGAAGGGCTGCTCCCAGACGCCCTTGAAGTAGGCAGCGGTTACCAGCACGGCCTGATTGTCGTGCAGGTCGTCCGTGAGGACGGTCTCCCGGACCTTGCCTTCCGTGTCCTCCTCGATGGCGGAGTTGATGTGCTTGGCTGCGATATGCGGCTTAGGGGGGGGGGGACTAGTTACTTGCTTTGATCCCTAGCTTTAAATCTTTGTTATATTCTTTTCTACTTTACTACCTGCTTCGTCCTTCGTCAAAAATACAAGGTCTATGTGTTTATTCTTAAATGTCTGTGCCTCACCAGGACACAAATAGATATTTCTTACCTTATCAAACTCCACCTGCATGATACTTTCCTTCAAAAAATCGAGAACACAGTCCCTAATGTGGAGGTCTTCGTCCAGGTACAGGCGGTTGCTTGTGGTAAAGTGAGCCTCTAGGGCGCCTGGTACCTGGTACCTGGGGGCGAGGGGGGGCGGGGGTTAGGGGCACGCCAGCGGGAAGAAGAAGAAGTCAGAAGGGAGCGAGGAGAGATGGTGATTGGGGGAATATGTAGCTAAAAGAAGAAAGGAGAGATACATATATGTGTGTACATATGTAGATAAAGGAAGAAAGGAGAGATACATATAGTGTATGTAATATGTATATTATATATATATATATATATAATATATATATATATATATATATATATATATATATATATATATATATATATATATATATATATATATATATATATGTGTGTGTGTGTGTGTGTGTGTGTGTGTGTGTGTGTGTGTGTGTGTGTATCATCATCATTAGGAGCTAACGCCGGCGCATAGCCGCGTCCACCCTTCGTTTCCACCTTTGGGGGTCCATGGCAAGCCGCCAGTCAGGGACTCGGCTCATCTCGAACTCCTTACAAGTTTGATCAATCGAACAGAGACAATCTGGTGGTCAGGATCATCTTGTGGGAGGCGGACCTGGCGGCCATATATCTTGAGTTGACGATCACGGATTGTGCAGGTAACAGGTCCTGTGCCAGTTGCATGGTGCAGCCGTTGGTTGGACACGTGGTCTCGCCAACAGTATCCCATGATCCAGCACAAGGACCTATTAACGAAGTCATCAAGGCACAGGAGAAAGTCCAGGTTTCACTACTGCATAGCAAAACTGGCATTATCAAGAGCTTGAAAACGTGTAGTTTGGTCCTTCTGCACAGGTACCAGCATCCCTAAATACTCTTGTTGAGAGAGTTCATGACCCCTGTTACCAGGCCAATCCGTCGTCTGCTTACATCTTGGACTGACAGCCCACAGTATGTAAAGCTCTCTGTGACTTCAGTGTCCTCACTGCAAGCATGTACCGACTGGATTTTGGCCTTGGTCCAGGAGACCTCTAGACCCAAGGGCTTCGCTTCATTACTAAATGCATCTAGAGCCACCACTAAGGTTTCCAAAGACAGATAAAATAGCAACATCATCGGCTAAGTCAAGGCTAATAACCGTGATATTACCCAGAGTTGTTCCACAATGGCTTTGAACAGTAGCTCTACCCAGTATCCAGTCCATGCAAGGATTGAAAAGTGTTGGTGCAAGGACACAGCCTTGCCTCACTCCTGAACTAACAGGAAAGAAGCTTGACAGGACCCCACCACAATTTACGGCACTTTCAGTACCAGTAAATAGGTTTGCTATTAGTCCAATAATCCTTGTTGGAATTCCTCTCAGTCTCAGGATTTCCCAGATTGGTTCTGATTCACCGTATCGAGGCCTTCTTGAGGTCGATGTAGGCTGCAAGCAGCCCATGCCCGAACTCATGACAACGTTCTACAATGACTCGAAGTGCTAGCATACAGTCTATTGTGGACTTACCAGGAGTGAATCCAGATTGCTCGGGCCTCTGATGCCTCAGTAGGCGGTCTCTGATACATTTCAGAAGGATGTAGGCGAGAACATTGCCTAGTATATTCAGCAGTGTGATGCCTCGGTGATTGCTGCAGACCCATCGGTCCCCACACCCCTCAACAGGTCGGGAAATGGTGCCGGACCACCAGATGGCAGCCAGGGCAGCATGCAATCCCCACACCATAGGTTCACCACCAGCCTTTAACAGTTTCACTGCGATGCCACATATACCCGTTGCTTTACCACTCTTCAGCTTGGAGAACACCCCCTAACTTCCGTTAGAGAAGGTGGATTCTCATTGATGGGTGGGTCCAGCAACGGAATCACGGCACTAACCGCATCCCAGTTAACTGTTGGTGGGTCAACCTGGTACAACTGCTCAAAATACTTAGCCCAAAGCTCCCGCACCACAACAGTATCTGAGACAATCTGGCCACTTACTAAACTGCCTATGGAGAAGGCTTGGAGTTCAGCTTTCTCAGGGC